AAAAAGAAAGAAAGAAAGTTTAAACTTTATCTGGGTGGTGGCGGCTCATGACTGTAATCCTAACTACAAAAGAGACTAAAGATCAAGGATTGAAGCCAGCTGCAGTAAGAATATCTGTGAGACTCTTAACTGCAGTTAACTACCACATAGTGGGAAGCAGAGCTGTGGTTCAAGGAGTAGAGCGCCAGCCTAGAAGGAAAAAGCTGAATGTGAGGGTAAGGCCCTGAGTTCCAATCCAAAACTTAAAGTTTAAACTTAAAAAAAAAACTCTGGCCTTTATTACATGGTCACAAATAAAGCTGCAGTTAAGAGGGATGAATGGGAAAACTAGCTTTCAGCATCTTCAGATAGAAAACATTAGACTAAGATTTGTTTTGTTTTGTGTGTTTCTCATCAAAATGTCTTATTAGGGGTTGGAGGCATAGCTTAGGTGGTAGAGTGCCAGCCAGTGACCAAAAGTGTCAGATAGTGAGTTCAAATCCCAATCTTGAACCAAACAAAAAAGTTGTCTTATTAATGCTTTGTTGGCTCACTGGTAAAACACTTGTTTTTCCATTTCTTAGGGCCCAGATACAAGCCCAAGCACTACAAAAGAACAAAGGAAAGAAGGAAGGAAGGAAGGAAAGAAGAAAGGAAGGAAGGAAGGAGGGAGGGAGGGGAGGGGAAGGGAGGGAAATGAAGGAAGGAAGGAAGAAAGGAAGGACAGAAGGAAGGAAGGAAGGAAGGAAGGAGAGCAAAAAAGAATCAAGGAAGGAAGCAGGGAAGGAATAAAGGAAGGAAGGAAGAAAAATATAAATCTATACTAATTTTGAGGTACAAAACTGTAGTTATCATGTTATTGACAATTAGTTTGAATAAATGATCAAGTGCTTATATGCCTAGAATGGTATATCTTATTTGTAAATTGCATGTGTTATAAACCGGTTCAGTTAAATCATTTGAATATGCAAATTGTTTAGTGTCTTGTTGGTTTGTTTTTAGTAAATCTGGAGTAGCTGCCATAAAGAAGGTACTGCGGCATAAGAAGCCTGTAGGATTTTTGACCTCAGTCCTCACAGAACTGATAGAACCCTTTGCAGTAGAAGAAGCAAATGAGAGCTCTTGTTTGTCTAGCTCTCTTTCCATTGAGGAAACTCATACTGCCTCCTATAAACTTGTTCTTGATCCACAAGGTAAATATACACATATAACACATCTCTAATGGTTACAGGAAGTGAAAAGAAATCTTTTTAAAAGACTGTTTATAGGCCAGGCGCCAGTGGCTGACTCCTATAATCCTAACTACTGAGGAGGCTGAGATCTGAGGATCATGGTTCAAAGCCAGCCCGGGCA